GCTAAGGATGTCCGACTGCAGTTTAGGCCTGCTCCCCGCTGGCAAGTGGACATCCCCCGAGGGCTGCCGGGCTGCCAGAGGGATGTCTGATTGCCATCTTAGGCCCAATCCCCCGGGGAGCAGGCCTAAGCCAGTAGGTGGTCATCCCCCGAGGGGTCCCAGACTGCGAGAGGGCACAGGCCGGGCTGAGGGACCCCCCCACCCCCGAGTGCACAAATTTTTGTGCACCGGGCCTCTAGTCCTATATAATAAGAGGCTAATATGCAAATCGACCAAACAGCGGAACGACCAGTCGCTATGACACACACTGACCATCAGGGGGCAGATGCTCAATGCAGGAGCTGCCCCATGGTGATCTGTGCGCTCCCACAGGGGGAGCACTGCTCAGCCAGAAGCCCTGAGCCAGGCTCACGGCTGGTGAGCCCAGCCACGGTGGCGGGAGCCTCTCCCTCCTCTGCGGCAGTGCTAAGGATGTCTGAATGCCGGCTTAGGACATCCCCTGAGGGCTCCCGGACTGGGAGAGGGCACAGGCTGGGCTGAGGGACTCTCCCCAAGTACACAAATTTCATGAACCGGGCCTCTAGTAGTTTATAAGGATTTGTTGGTATGATTATGTGTTTAGTGTCTGTCTCTCCTAAGAAGTTCCATGAAGGCAGCAACTGTGTCTGCTTTGCTCAACAATGTATCCTAGCACCGTACCTGGTACATAATAGTGTTCAATAAACATTTATTGTTGGAACAAATAAATGACTAAGAAAAAGAGCATTTTGGGCAATAAGCATACACATGAAAGAAAATAGAGGGAGAGATCTGAGTGTGTGGTATTTTATAATTTAGATGATACTGTGAACAGGTAAATTACATGTATTTTCTATAGTGGCTCCCTAGGAGGGAAGGAGATAAAGGAGGAGAAGGGGAGAGAAGAAAAGAGACTAACTGAATAGTATTTGTTATCACTGAGAAGGAAGGCCAGAGGCAGAGTGAGCTCTGGATAGTTGGGAAAACACTAGATTCCCAGTTGAAAGAGTATTATACCCTGGAAGGCAAGAAAACTTCATCCCCCAAGCATGAATCAATCCAATGACCTGCCTTCTCAGCTCTTCTACCAGGGCTACTAAGCTGTTGCACATGCAGTCGCAGTGACACTACCACAAATTCAAGCTTATAGTTAACTACTTCTTCTATTTCTGTGATTTCAAGTCTTTTGTGGTAAATCCCTCTACTCTATTACATGCTTGCTTGCTCTTAGAAGATGACCTTGCCTCCTACTTAACTGAGAAGATAAAGTAAAAAATTCCTCAATTTATCTTCTCCCTCTAAATTACTGTCATTGTATTATTCCTATCTTAACCCTTTTCTTCTAGTTTTGGGGCAGGTGATCCCTCTAAATTAGTGTCACTGTATTATTCCTACCTTAACCTCTTTTCTTGTAGTCTTGGGGCAAATTGCAAGTCCCTTGTCTAAAGCAAATCCATCTTTATTTGTTCTCAGAACCTCAACTACTCAAAGATAGCCCCCTATCAACTAGTCCCGATTATCAGTTTTAGTCTCTCCCAATTGGTTCTTTCACTTTTTTAAGTTTCTTCCATATTTTAAAAACAAACAAACAAACAAATCTACATCCCTTGATCCTTGATTACTGCCTCTTGACTTCTTGTATCTTGCCTTTTTTCAAGAAGAGCCTAACAGCTTCTACCACTACCTTATCTAGTATTCACTGTCTATTGGACAGCATTCTGCTCTTTTACTAAGCAACTCTACTTAGATATCCCCTCAATCCCTTCAAATTCAAACAACACAAACTGAGTTTCACCATTTTCTACCTGACCCTGTTTTTCAGCCTATATTCCCTGACTTAATCACTAGTACTACCATTTATTCTTTTGCCCAAGCAAGAAACCTGAGAATTAACCTTGATTATCCTCTCCCGCCCTTCCACATCAAATTTGTTACTAAGTAAGCCCTATACATTCTACTGTACTTCCTTATTTGTTTTTCTAATTTGTCCCCTTCTCTCAATCTCTATTGCTATTGTCTTTAGTTCAAGCCTGAGTTATTATAACAACCTAATTTATTTTCCTATTTCTAGTCATGCTCCCCGCAAAATCCACTTTGAGACTTGCTAGAGTGATCTCCCTCTTCCAATGGCCACCCTCTTTCAATGGCTTCTCAAAACTTTCAGGTTAAATTCCAAATTCTTTACAAGTCATGTGAGGACCTTCAGGATCTGATCTGATTCCTGCCTACCTTTCATCTTATCTCTTAATGTTCACTTCTTATCCGTTAAATCTCCAATGCCCCCCCCCCATCTTAAATGTGACAACCATATTAATAGGAATTATTAACATGGTAATAATTCCCCAACAAATATGCTTAACCAGTATGTTTAAATTTCTGATAAAGGAGAAGCTGAGAAACAGAAGCAGCTCTATCATTCCATTCACATTCTTCTAATTTTTCTCATCAAATTGCAAGTCCCTTATACCTGTTGCTTCAGATGATTAAGTTCAGCTGTCCGGGGATCAATATTAACAATGGGTTTGTTCTTGATTTTTCTTGCTCTGTCAGCATAGCGAAGGGTATTTAATGTTTCTTCTAGATTGGAGTCAGCAGGACTCACACAGGCTATCATAAGAGTGTGGCTATTACCTCCTAAAGAATCTGAAAAGGAACAATGGAAGGAAATGAAATCAAACAAGTAAAATGCAAGCAAAGCTGTCTATATGGGCTGGAGACTTCAAAATCAGAGCTTAACAACAAAGAAATGAGTATCTACCCATTTCCTATTTGTGACAATATAAAAAACACAAAGATTTTTGGTGTATAAAATAATAATAGCTTAAAATCCTATTGGATGTGTCCTCATTCTTAAGAGTCTGTGATTTCAGCAGTTAATCATGTTAAAACAACTGGGGCCTGGCCTAAGTAAGTCAGGAGCCACTATAGAGATTAAACATTCCTAGGATGCTCCCACTAGGTAGATTTTAACTCTTCAGGGAATTCTGCTTATCAGCACTAATAAAGAAACAGTAACCAAATTCATTTTCAGATACAAAGTATAAGTACAGTTGGCATTCTGCACACTTCTTGGCTCTCAAACCATATATGAAGACATCTTTCCATTATCTTACAAGTCTGCTTGCCAACAGGTCTCTCTCCTATTTATCAATTAGACAGCTCTGTATGTGATAGTCCAAAAATCTGGCTTTTTACCTGTTCCATTTCTGCTTTCTCAACACTATCATAATTACTCTCTCTTATTTTTAGAGGCACTTTGTGCTTACCTTGAAGCAATCGCGTCAACTTGGAATCTCTATAGGGCACAAAGCCACCCTTTTTGTCATCTCCAAGAGCACTGATCACATTCCCCAAGCATAGGAGGCCTCGGTTAATATTAATACCTAATAGCAGGAAACAAAATTTAAATTGCTTGGTAAAGCATCAAGCTTATTACTTACATTTATCCTAAGAAAGGTAAAAGAAATAAAGACCCTATAGAAATATTCACTCATCAATTTTAAGGAAACTTCTCAATCCTGTTCACTTTTCTTAGAGTGCCTCCTTAAATAAAATTCAAAGGACAAAGGTCCAAATATTAGATATACACAATTGAGTCTGTTGCCACTTCTCATCCTTTTCCATGGAAACAAAGCAGACAGGCAGATAACTACCACTATGTCAACAACCATTTGCATAGTTACTTTCTATATCCATTATCACACATAATCCTTAAATTAATTCCCTGAAATTAGATGAACAGCTATTTTTTATCATCTTATCATTACTAAAGTGCCTACAGAGGGATGATAATGATGAAAAGAGTGATAATTTATATAGTGTTTACTATAAGCCAGACACTGTTTTAGGTACTTCATTAGGGGTGGGCAAAAGTAGGTTTACAGTTGTTTGTATGAAAAATAGTACAATAATTAATAAATAATAATACAAGAATAAATTGTTTCATGTAGTCACAACTGAAAACCTACTTTGGCCACCCCTGTACATAACTCATCTAATCCTCACAACAGTCCTATAAAGTATTTAAACAATATGATTACTCATGTATTGACAGATATGAGAGTTGAGGCACAAACAGGTTAGGTAACTTGTCTTAAGGTCACAGACTCAGATTTCAAATGTAGGCAGTCTGGCACAAAAGTCCATGGTCTTAATCTCTGTGCTCTATGGAAATGAGCTATGTTGCTCACTTAAAGGCACCAGGTACCTTGGAAAGAGGAGAGACTTGAAGTAAACAAGAAATAATTGATAGAAAATGTATATAAAAAACTGTTTCTCTCACATCCATGTTTCTCTCTCTCCCTCTCACTCCCTCCCTCCCTCCCTCCCTCCTTTCCAATTTCTCTAAAAATCAATGGAAAAAATATCCTCGCGTTACGGTTAACAAATAAACAGAATTTAATAAAAGAACTCTTGAACTCTGAAGTTTCTCCTCTAGAGCCACACAACTACTGTTTCCCCATTCTCAATCATTCCCAGTCTACTTAATGGTATAGTCTTCCCAAATTCCATCCATTAAGTGTTGGTATTTTCTTGGGACTAAGCTCTGTTCTTACTATATATACTCATTCATTCCTAGAATTCCAATAAATACATAATATTAATGATTTCCTAAATCCATACCTCCAAGCCTGACCTTTTTCCTGTGGTCCAAAGCTATATTTTGGCTGCCTACTGAATAACGTCCAGTGGGCTGTGCCCATGTAAGATTCCATAAAACCATTGAACAAAACAGAATTCACTTTCAGTGCAAATATATTTCACTTTCAGTACTATTCCTTTCCACCGTCTCACCATCTAACCAGTCACCCAACAAACAGCAAACCTGAGACATCCTGGACACTTCCTTTTTTCCTCACTCCACACATCTGGGGTTTTCACTGAACACTTAGTGAATCTGTACAATGCTCTAGGCACTCTACTAGGTATCTACACTAATAAAAGAGAAACATGGTAATTAGCGTACGACCGCTACCCTTTTCATTGGCTAATCAGTGAGTATATGCAAATTAACTGTCAGCCAAGATGGCGGCCGGCAGCCAGGCACTGAAGCGAGCA